CTCTTATCGCCAATTTTGGGGCCGATTGCCGGAATCAGTATCGGCCGATACCGATTAAATGGAAGATTTAAACATCACTTTAAATCTTCCATTTAAAGTGATGTTTAAAACTCAGTTAATGGGGCTCATTCACTGGAGCTTCCACAAACAACAATCAACTTAATTATTACATTCAAATGATGTACATTATTTTTTAAGTTTACATTCACTTTGGATAATAACACGGGAGAAATTAGCAGAAGCGCTCTCTTTTCCTCTCTCCCCCTCTCTCTCTCTCCTGACAGCCTGTCAGTATCTCATGCAGCTCAGTAATGAGTGACCCGACAGTGAAGAATAAATATATTTATAACTAGTTTAGCTAGTTCCAGAGGTAGATAAAATAGCTAAGTGTGTTAGGTCTAACTCTTGTGTGTTTCGCTCCGCTCACCGGTCCGGCGGGCGGAGCTGAAGGATTTCTGCTTCATACTGTTCAACTCTTGCATACCGCTATTTTACTGTCTTTTTCGGACACCTTAAAAAAGTGTCATATATTTTACGTCATGCGATCGGCATGTTTAGAGAGCACCGGTCGATCGGTAGAGAGTGAGTATCGGCCGATCTCGATCGGAGCATCCCTACTCCCAGATTATAGACAGTCCTACTCGCCCAAATATTAAGTCCCCAAATAAATCCTCCTTAATTGATCTAATTTGAACAAATATTCCACATAAATACTCATCTGTGGGAGTATTTGCTAATGATGTGAGTGACCACTGTGTTGTAGCCACAATTAGGGACACTAAGGTCCAAAAGGTTAAACCACGTATCATCACAAAGAGAGACAAAAAACACTTTGTGGAGCAGGGTTTTTTTACATGATCTGTTTGATTTTGATTGGGGTAAAATCAATCTGTGTGCTGATGTAGAAACTGCATGGTCTTATTTTTATCTTGGTTTTATGAAAATTATAGATAGACATAAACCTCTGCGTACATTTAGAGTGAAGGGACGAAACAATCCCTGGTTTTCTGCTGAGCTGTCCAGTCTACTTCATGAGAGAAATAATGCTTGGGCTAAGGCTAGGCAATCAGGCTCAGAGGTAGAATGGCTACGCTTTAGACAGCTAAGAAATAGCTTCACATCTCAAATAAAAAGTGCTAAATCAAAGTACTATTTGTCAGTTACCACAGAAAACCTAAATAATCCTAGGAAATTTTGGAAAGCCATAAAATCGATTTCCACTGGTGAGATCCCAAATGAGCTACCTCCGTGCCTCACCACAGCATCTGGCATTATATCAGACAGGGCTACTATGCTAAATTGCTTTAATAAGCATGTTGTGTCTTGTGGCTCTCTGTTTGATTCTGTCATTGACTGTACTTCTGCTTCTGTGAACGCTCCAATCCTTGACTCTGAACAATGTGGTCTGGAAAACCCTTTCAGTTTTACTCCTTTAACTATTGTTCATGAAGCATTATCCAAGTTAGATCCTAGGAAACCGGCTGGCCCGGACAACCTAGAACCTTTCTTTTTAAAGTTAGCTGCAGATTTTATTGCTCTTCCTCTTACTTCTCTTTTTAACCTCTCCCTCAGCACAAATGCAATTCCAAAAGTATGGAAGTCTGCTTATGTCTTGCCTTTACTAAAAGGAGGGGAGGCAACTATTTTAAATAACTATAGGCCAATCTCCAAATTGTCAGTTCTGGCTAAGGTGCTCGAACGACTTGTGAGTGACCAAGTAAAGGAGTTTTTATGTATAAATGATATCCTGTCTAGACATCAGTCAGGATTCAGAAAGAGATACAGCACCATCACTGCCACAATGAAAGTGGTAAATGACATTACTAGTATTTTGGATAATAAGCAGAGTTGTGCAGCTCTATTTATTGACCTTTCCAAAGCATTTGACACCGTTGATCATCGCATTTTAAAGCAGAGGCTACTCAGTATCGGCATATCCAGCCATGCAGTGGGGTGGTTTGTGAACTACCTCTCTGAAAGGTCCCAATGTGTTCACTTTGATGGGCTGTCTTCTGAGTGGTTAAACATTGCTAATGGTGTTCCTCAAGGTTCTGTTTTAGGTCCACTTTTATTCTCCATATATATCAACAGTTTAGATGAAAATGTGGATGAAGCTACTTTACATTTTTATGCTGATGATACCGTGATGTACTGTGCAGGCCCTCCATTAAGGAGGCTGGTGTTAAATTACAGGCTGTTTTTAACATTATTCAGACTCAGCTCGCTGAACTTAAGCTTCTTTTAAATGTTGATAAAACCAAGGTAATGCTATTTTCAAAAGCTAAAAAGATACCAGAGCCTGTTTTGGATATTGTTACTATGCAAGGACAAGTACTTGAAGTGGTTACCAGTTATAAATACCTTGGTATCTGGCTTGATGATTGTCTTACTTTTAAACTTCATGTCAATAACCTGCTTAAAAAGCTGAGGGTTAGACTAGGTTTCTTTTTCAGAAACAAGTCCTGTTTCTCTTTTGAAGCCAGGAAAAGGCTAGTCACTGTGATCTTTTTACCTGTGCTGGACTATGGTGATCTGATCTATATCAATGCACCTGCCCATTGCCTGGAAAAGTTAGATGCCGCCTATCACAGTGCCCTGAGATTTGTTACTAACTGTAAAGCACTTACTCATCACTGTACCCTGTATGCCAAGGCAGGTCTGCCTTCACTAACTGTACGGAGGCTCAGTCATTGGTACATGTTCATTTACAAAGCCATGTTGGGTAAACTACCTTTTTATATCTGCTCTCCGATCTCTCGACGAATTGAAAGTACATATTGCCTGAGATCTCATGATGTTGTTTTATTAAATGTGCCAAGTGCTAGGACTGTCTTAGGGAAGAAAGCTTTTAGTTGTGCAGCTCCACTAAATTGGAACAGTCTGCAAACATGTTTAAAACTGAGCACTTTGGTTCCCCTGCATCATTTTAAAACTCAGCTGGCTGACATGCTGTTTGATACTCATGGTACCCGTCACTGTAAATAGAGTTTGTAAACTGTACCCTGTACATTATGTTGTATGTCATCCTTATTGTTGTTCCGTTGTTTTTATGTTACATGTGTAACTAATGTCCTGCAGGTCACCCTTGAAAAAGAGATCGTTTGATCTCAGGGGGCTTCACCTGGTTAAATAAAGGCTACAAACAAACAAACTCCTTTCCAATATGGGCTACAAAAAAAACTGTGACCACATTTTGTTTTATAATAATTGCCCCAAGTGGAATACAACAAATTAATAAATAAAACAAAGTGTATGTGTGAAAAGATGTAAACAACATATCTGTAGCTGAACTCACAAATTGCATGCAACCAACACAGCTATCCATCTAAGCTGATCACATCTTATTTAGCAGGATGCTAGCATATTTTGTTATGGTAATTAACATAGCATAGTTGAAGCGGCAGTGAGCGCTCACGTTAGCCTGCAGGCTAAAGCTAACAGTTAAAAAACATTAACAAACGTGAGCATACCACACTTATCATCTGCATCCATGTGTGTTTTCTCCTCTGCATCGCCGTCTTCTGTTTCGGACCAGTCGTAAAACGGGTGGTCGTTTACACGAGCCTCGGCCATTTTTTCCGCCTGCTCTGCTGGATTACATGTCTTTTTTCCGGCTCCAGCCCCGGACTCGACACTAACCTCAGGATGGCGGGCACTACCGTCTCTCCCCAAGCTGGGTCTCTGCTCAGTGTCGGGGCTCTCTGCGGGATCATTGTGTGTCTCTTCATCCATTGGATTTGAGCTGCATCCCGTCTCCTCGGCCTCGGTCTCAGTCTTCCCCCCAGATGTGTCCACCTCCTCCGCAGGGGATTTCGGTCGTTTGGGAGACTCCGATGGGTCGGCCATGTTTCACCCATACACCCCCTTATCCAGGATCATGCTCATGTTGCCAGTATGAAAAACTAATGACACTTCCGGTTGACATTTTCAAAATAAAAGACCCATTATTGACAACCATCTGTGCTTCATAATTTCTTAAAATATAATTAGAAACTTTAAGTTTATAATTTCCGTTTTCTACTACTGCCGTCTTTGTTGTTATACACAGTAAACACCTTCGTAACAACATAAATAAACTTCAACATTAAATACATTTTTTTTGTCACAAATCACAAGTGATCAGCTGGATTTATTTTGAAGTCCATGTCTGACTTTTATTAAAGTTTAGTTACATTTCATTGGAACAGTCACTATCTACAAAATATATATATTGTGCAAAACTACATAGATGATGGCCATATGCTGTTTCTTTGCGACTATCTACAAACACATTCATCGTACTGCATGCAAGAATAGAATAAATATCCCGTACACACTTATCTATGCTCTTATATTCCACCAGAAACATACGAGTTAAAGTCTGATGCCTACTGTGATGTTTATGCCGGAAGGTATTTCAGTTTTAACCAAAAATGTGATAGACTTAATGTAACACTGTTGTCTCGAAACACACCAAACAGAACATTATTTTCCAGTGAACTGTTAAAAAGCCAAAGCATATTATTAGCAGGTAAGTACAATAGCTGTTTGACTACCATATATGGCAACTGCAGATTACAAGTATTCTATGACGATGTAGTTAGTGAATCAGGAGAATTGAGACAGTGCTAAACTAGTTAGTGTCAGTTCGGCTGCAAAGCATGTGCAGTGACATGCATAATAAGCATCAGATCCTATAGTATGTCTTGTCTGGTTTTTCAGTCTCATGAAGGAAAATGTCAATCCAAAGAGCTGCTGTTTTTCAGGAAGTCTTTCATCATATTCTCAAGAACCAAGCTAATGATTAAGGCCACCATATTATCACGTGTTATTTTCTTATGGATTTCAGTCCTCTCTGAAGACAAACTTAAGTGCAAGATGGATTTGAAGTGGGACGTAAAACTCATATATTATATTTTTTACAGCGATACAGTCAATAGAAAAAGAGCCTGACATCTTGTCGCATTTTTGTAACACCAACTATGCATGATGTCCACTTTGAGTTTCTAAATGCTTTCTCATCAGCGCCGTCTTCTGCGCCTGTGATCAACAGCTCTTCCTCGCCGTGGCTTCTGTACACTTCTGTTTGTGTTTGTGGGTGCTTCCAAAGGAAAAGTGCCAAGTTCTTCAGGGGATGATGATGCAGGAACTACAGCCACAGTTGTCTGATTAGTTGGTTGCTGGGGGACTTGTGGCTGCTGCTGTATTTGCTGCTGTTGTTGTACCACCAGTGACTGCTGCTGATGTACTACCAGTGGCTGCTGCTGATGTTGTGTTTGCAGTGGTGCTTCAATCCGCTGTTGTTGAGGCTGCGGTGGTTCTGTGTGTTGTAGCTGCTGAGCGGCCTGTGGCTGTAAGGGCTGTTGCGATGTTTGCGTCTGGTGTGCTTGTTGAACACGATGTTGTTGTGGCTGCTGCTGGGCCTCAAGCACTCCTAAAAGCCTTTGCAAGAGGACATTGTTTTGTTGTAGACTGCCTGCTAGTGTCTCTTGTGAAGCAACAAGTGTTCTGATGTCCTGTCGGAAACCTTCCCCAAACTCCAGCAGGCTCTTTTCTACCCGATTTCCCAGTTGAATTGCTGCCTCCCCTAACCCTCGAAGCTCATCTTCAAGCCAGGAGCTGCGCGGAGGTTCTTCAAGAGGCCCCTGCTGTGCTCCGAGTGATGGCTGAGGACTACTGGGCTGGGGGCTGCCATTGAGGAAAGGAGCACTGTAGAGGGGGGAAGGAGGCAACCATCGTTCTGAAGGAGGTGGGGGTCCTATGCCCAGACCAAGCCCTAATCCCAATTTTTCTTCCATGCTGTTCTCTACTGGTTCACACTCAGATTCTCCCATCTCTTTGTCACGCTCAGGATTGTCTTCGTCTTTGTCCAAAGCATCTCTCTCTGACCCTTCGCCACCAACACCTGCAAAGAAATATTGTAATTAGACCTGAGTAGATGTTAGTTGCATCTCGAGAATCTTCAAAGAAAAATACTCATATTTCACCTGTATCAGAGTCAGGGAAGCATGGGAAACTGGGCTTTGGTCTGGTGCTTTGCTTTTGCCGGGCATGCTGAAGCCTGGGGCTAGACTGTGAAGGATGGCCAAGCATCGAAGCTCCTCTGCTGGATGGCAGGTAACAGGTGCGGTGCCGGGCATCAGCCAGCCGGCCTCCGTTGCGTCTCTTTAGGTCGTCCCAGCGCTTCTTCACCTCTCGAAGTGTGCGTGGGACTCTGGACACGGCGTTGACTCTCTCTAGGATGCCTGCCCAGATGCGCTCTCTCTCCCGTCTGCGGAGTCTCCCTGCAGGACCAAAGAGCTCCCCTTCACACCGAGTGACTTCTGACACCAACACCTCCAGCTCTGCTCCACTGAAACGACTCTTTCTTTTTCCCGCACCACCAGCAGCCAGCGCAGCTGACATAGCTCTGTCTGTTAAGAAAAAATGGTGAGAGGACAGCCCAAAAGGGAAAGAAAAAAGTTTCAAGTGAAGATGAATGTGAAGAAGAGAAATGTGCTTTAACAGTGTCAGCCTTATTTCCACTTTGCTAAGCCAAAATCACTCTTATATTACTACTTTTGGAAAGATATGGAGCATAAACGTCAATATTTATCCAATCTTCTTTCAGTGATAATGTCGGATCTAAATGTTTAAAATGCCGTGGCTGTTTACATAGATAGTGTGTATTACTTTGTATCTTGGCCTGTGCTTTAATATACTGCTGAAAAAGCATTTCATGTTAACTATGGTCAATAAGAACCACATGCTCAGCAGAAATGTACACATAAGCAAGGAAACATGAAATCCAGCATCCAATAAAGTTCTTAATCTCAGGCTTACTTTGTTCAATAGACAAGAGGTCGTCTGAGGACATGCCGGGTGCCATGATGTTGGGATGCACCACTACCACGTTGAAGGGGAGTCCTCCAGGCAAGCCACTGCTCTGGTCACAGCTGCCCTCGGAGTCATCATCCTCCCTGGGGAAGCCGTTTTCTGAGGCTCCCCCTCCAAAGGGTCCCTCCGGAGACTCCACTTTGATGTGCATGGGAGGTGATTGCTCGTACAGCAGCCCCCCCTCCTCATAGTACTCAGTCATGGGTCAGACCTGATTTACAGCAGAACTGACAGGTGGGCCAATTCTGATACTGGCAGCTGTTGCTCCATTAACACAAGTTCAATGTGTTACTAAGCCTACTGCTGAAGACATTGCAACTCTTCAGTATACTGCATCAGATAATAAGGATTTGTCTTTAGCTAATTTCTTAAGAAAATAAAGAGTTAAAGTGTTATTTTTAACAGTATTCTTCAAATCAATCAAGTCATTGTTGCAGCTTGATTGAGATACAATCATATTGTTTACTAAGAGTCAAGAGACTTTTATGGCTAGCTGCAGCCACTTAAATCCAATTCCCATATCATCTTTATTTATAGTGATATGTCACTAAGAACATATAGACGGTGTAAAAACACCTAAAGCAGGCTAAGAGCTACATCTATAAGTCCAGCTGTCATACAGTGTTCCTTCAAGGCAGAGAATATCCTCCAGAGCTGAAATACAACAACAAAACATAACACTGCTTACAACTGTGAAGCATTTTAAAACAGTTTTGTATCACCGAAGTTGACGTTTTTATTCTGTCGCATCGATGCGCATTTTTTTCTGCACCACATCCGCAATGGTTGCGCATTCCGCATACATTAGGTGCTGATCTTGCAATGCTAGCTGCTAGCTAACAGGGAAACACAGTTTAAATGTAAAGCTGTAGCCTGAACGAGCAGCGAGCAGACATGACATGACAGCCCACGCTGTTGTGATCCTTACCTCATGATAACTGCACATGGGAGGCAAAACACAATCAAAACACACTTGGTGCAGCTGTTAGCTCAGCAACCGATACACAAACCGAAGACAGTCGCTTATTTTGGACGTCACGGTGGGGCCGATGTTCAGGACCAATCAGGTCGGAGAGAAAGGTTTAATCTGAATATGAATGATTATTGTTGTACCTATTGTATTCCACATGTATCTAGAACATGTATCTAGAAGAACACGTAAAATGGTCATGCTTTATGTCACTGATATTTTTATTTTATTTTGAAAATACCTAAATGGACAAACATTTTAGATTTTCAAAGCGGCTATTTAGAGTTTTGGAAAAGTACACCATCATAAAATGAAATGGACCAATAGAAAACCACATTTCACTTTATTTCTAATGGATATATTAGAAATATCCATGTGTGTATACATACATAATTAAAGGGTCACATAAATAATTACATTACATAGCATTTAGTTGAGCTTTTATCCAAAGCGATTTACAATAAGTGCAATAAACCATAGACATATTTACTTCAAACAAGCAATCAGAGGTTGGGAGTAACTGAGTACATTTACTCTGTATCATTTTGAAACACTTTACTTGAGTATTTCAATCTTTTGTTACTTTGTACTTCTAATCCAATACAATTCAGAAGTAAATGGTGAAATTTTACTCCACTACATCTATGTATTACCTTTAGTTACTTTGCAGACTTGGATTAATGATTGATATGAAATATAATCAACACTTAAATAAGACTTTAGTTACACCTGGAGTAAATTCACAAGCTACCCTCCAGTATACAAAGTCATTAAAACTAGCTGCTATTTTACCAGCTTTGATAACACTTTAATGCATCAATAATGATAATCAAAATATATAAGATACATTATTCTGAAATGGAACAATTTGCATAATGAGTACATTTACTTTTGGTACTTTAAGTATATTTTGATGCCAATATTTTTGTACTTTTACTTGAGTAACATTTGAATTACAGGACTTTTAGTTGTAACAGAATATTCCTACACTCTGTTACTTCTACTTTTACTTAAGTACAAGATCTGAGTTCTTGTTCCACCTCTGCAAGCAATATCAATTTTATTTTTTGGATTATTCGCCACAAAATGACTAATAATGCAAAAGCTTGTAGATTTGCATAGTGGAACATCACCCTGATAATCATTGGTTATATCTAATGTCAATGCAATTATTGAATAATAGTTAATACAATTATTAAAAATAAAATGTGATAATAACAAATATAAAAACTATATTATTTTTGAAAAATGTATGGACTCTGGCGCTAAACATGAAACATTTTTTTGTTTATTATGTGTCCCCTCCACCTATAGTAATACGGGCTTTGTACATGTGCATTACTACCAAAATATAAAACATAGTTCTAATATAAAGCTAGCAATGTTGAGTGTTATCATATGTATGTATCTGTTAACTGGAAAAATGATGACGTGAAATTCTAGGTGTTTTTCTCTTTGACCATGCTGCTGTTTCCCAGGTGGGATAATGTTTAATCATTGTGCAAGGTGCATGGAAAAATCCATGAGCGAGTAAGATAAAGAGTGGTCTGCCTGTAGCTGTACAGTATATAAACCCACTGCATCTGCTCCAGTGGTGTGTTGACTCATCAGTACATAATGAAGTACTTTATTCTCCTCGCCTTGCTCGCTGCAGCCTGTAAGTTCTTGCATATTCTTGTTTATAATCTTTTACATTCAATTTATTTTGTTTGTGTAATTTTAAGAAGTGGGATTTAGGCTCTTTAAATAGTTTTACACAGTTTATGTTTCAGATGCTGCTCCCATTGAGGATGACAAGATTGTTGGCGGCTACGAGTGCAGAAAGAACTCTGTGCAGTACCAGGTCTCTCTGAACTCTGGCTACCACTTCTGTGGAGCCTCCCTGATCTCCAGCACCTGGGTGCTGTCTGCTGCTCACTGCTACAAGTCGTAAGGGCACACATTTGCTTTCAGATAAAATACTTTCTCAACATAAAACTGCTGCAAAGCTTTTTATCTATATCCTTAAAAAGCGTAAACTACCTCAATAAGTTGTATTGTCAACTTACTTAATCCTGCCTCTCTCTGCAGCCGCGTGCAGGTGCGTCTGGGTGAGCACAACATTGCCTTCAATGAGGGCACTGAGCAGTTCATCAACTCTGCCAAGGTCATCCGTCACCCCAGCTACAACAGCCGCAACCTGGACAATGACATCATGCTGATCAAGCTGAGCACCCCCGCCTCCCTGAACAGCTACGTCCGCACCGTGTCCCTGCCTTCCAGCTGTGCCAGCTCTGGCACCCGCTGCCTGATCTCTGGATGGGGCAACACCAGCGGCTCTGGAAGTCAGTAACTCACTGCAGTCACACCTGGAAGACAGTTTTGCTACATGTTTGAGTATGAACACCACATGTATTGACTTTGTTCCTCTGTAGGCAACTACCCTGATCGTCTGAGGTGCCTGGATGCCCCCATCCTGAGCGACAGCAGCTGCAGGTCCGCCTACCCTGGACAGATCACCTCCAACATGTTCTGTGCCGGATTCCTTGAGGGAGGCAAGGACTCCTGCCAGGTACGAGACACAGTTACAGTTTCCTAAAGCCAACACAGCCAACTTCAGATCAGCTGTGCTCACATGTTGTCCTTTCTCTCTGCGTGCTCTCAGGGAGACTCTGGAGGCCCCGTGGTGTGCAACGGTGAGCTGCAGGGAGTGGTGTCCTGGGGTTATGGCTGCGCCGAGAGGAACAAGCCCGGTGTGTACGCCAAGGTCTGCAACTACAACTCCTGGATTCGCAACACCATGTCCTCCAACTAAAGTCACTTCACTGCAAGGAAACTTTATTTCAGGAACTTTGACATCTGTTTTGAGAAAAATGAATGACTGAATAATAAACAAATATGAAGCTCACTCTCTGTTGTTCCTTGTTATTTGCTTTTTGATAAATAGAATTAAAGAGAATCAGCTGGGAGTAAAATAAGTGAAATAGGGATTAACCTTAAAATGAATAAAAGATTAATGTCAAATAAATCTGAAACCCTGCTTGAATCTGGGTATCTCAATAACCAATAGAACTGGCACAAGATTAAATAATTTTTACCAAACATCAGAGACTTTGTGAAATAAAATGAACAATTTCAAGATAGTGTCTTCCATTTTTAAATAATGTATGTATACATATATTTTACATTAACAATCAATGTATGGGTCATCACAAAATCAGTATAAGTAAGAATTGCAAAATATTTGAGACAATAAATGTTTTCCCCTTTAAAAACGAAATCATGTTCTTGACATGAATACAGTATTTATATATATTATCTTGTTTATGATTTTTGATCGATAAGTGCACATCTTACGTAAAGTGTACGTGACTGGGTGGGACTAGAGCTCACTTTATCGATATGTTGACTCTCGTCTTCCAGATGTCTCTTCTCAGACATTACACAACAACATAAGTCAACACGGTCTGCCATTTCCTGGATTCGCAACACCATGTCCTCCAACTAAAGTCACTTCACAGTCATTTATTGTAAATCAGAAAGCTGTATATCCCTTTAATAAATAAACATAACAACAATTATTCTTCTACTTGATTTCTTGGCAGACGTATACATATTCTGCTCAAACTCATTACTTAAAATGTAGCCGAAAAAAACTGTCTTGATTGTTAACAAACGTACAGATCTTTAGACTACAGGTAATACATATAACTGATATTTGAGCCTTGCTATAACCCTTTTATCTAATATCTCTGGATTTTAGGATCCTATGGAAGTCTTATTTTATAAAGCGTTTGGACCCAAGTTTGACAGACACGATCACATAGAGATACAAAAATGACCTTTATTAGTTTTAAGACTAACTATAGCATACAACCATATACACGGAGTATCTTGGAAACACATTTTGAACAGATTTTCATGATTATACCAAAATAAAACCTGACATTCAAGCAGGAACAAATATTTTTTCAAAGGCAGTACAAAAATATGGATGTTCAACAACAATTCCTGTTGCAGGTGTCAAATGTGTGTTTTTGAGTAAATATTTTTAGAATATTGAGCAAAACTTCATTTCAGCTTTCATAATATTACAAGTCCATAATGGAGAAAACTCCTACGTCAATTTGATAATGAAAAATGTGTGTGAGAGTTAAATGGATATATTCACTTTCAATGTTAATACATTATGCTAAGAGGTGTCCTTGTTGGAGAACAGAACAAAACAAATGTACATCAATGTCTGAACATTTTTTGATTTTGATTTGAGTCAAGAAAAGACTGGCATGATCTGAAATAAACCCTTTTGACATGTTATTTTTATCTGCATTGCTTTATTGTTGGGCAGAAATGTAATTATATAAACTAAATAAGGCTCATAAGTTCTTTCTCAAGTGTCCAAAAACAAAACAAAAAGTGTCCCTAATATTTTGTACATTCAGTATATTTCAGAATCTGTAAACAGGTTGAATACATGATCGCAAACTAATCTTCCATTTTTCTGCATTATAGTTCCCATAACCTTACCATGTGGGTAAATGACAATCTTTTCTGATCTAGGACAAAAGAAGCCCCCCCCCCTGTTAAACAATGTATTAAAAAAAGTATAAACACATACACAGTGCATTGTGTCTCTGTTTAGGTTATTACAGCTGGCCTCTAGCATGCTGCAAATAATGGTGATAGAGGTCTGAAATGGCAGGATATGCATTACCGCACACAGCACACTTAATACCATCTGCAGACCCTTCATGTGATGTGCTGGCATTTTGGCTTACAGTAATTGGTTTCCCAAGTGCATTTTCATCTATTCTGTCCCAACTGGTTTCTCTGTCTTGGATACAATGTGTGCTGCTCTGTTGCTGGGTACTCTTACCCAAATCCAGATGCTTACTTTGGATCGAGGAAGTCATTGGCGCTAGAGGAAACTCTTGAGTTACTGAACATTGGGATACAGGGCCAAGAAAAGAGTTGTTTAATTCAGGATCTGGGCTTAATGTAGCTTCGTGGTTGCTCTTGGTGAACTGTGTAGGGCTATCATCTATGATTAAATCAAAATCAGAGTCCTTTTGCATTGAGTTATGGCAAATCTGGTGACTGAACAGCAAATCTAGAGTCTTAAAGCGGCACCTGCACTCATCACATTCATAAGGCCGAAACGTTTTTCTGGGCCTGAATGGAACCCACTGCACCTCTGCATGTTCCCTCATGTGTTTTTTGTATGTTCCCACAAACCGAAAACCTTTCCCGCACTGGGGACAAGTAAAACGGCCGCGTCTCTGTCGGTGGATTCTCTGATGAAGCCAAAGTTTATTCCAGTCTTCTAGAGTCTTGCCGCAGCAGGAGCAGGTGTAACTTTGACCCGGGCCATGGGTGAGCATGTGGGCTCGGAGTCGGCCCATGTGTCTGAACAGCCGCCCACAGCTTGGACAAAAATATTTCCTGGGGTCTGAGCCGTTATCAAGTTTATTTAACTTTGACACAAAGTGTGAGAGTTGATGAGCCGGTACGAATGTCGACTGGAAACATTTTTTTACTTTAGCAAGGTGTTTCTTGGGGCTGGCGGCCGATGTTTTTTTGAGTGTTTCACAATTTCCAGCAGTGAGTGGAGAAGCTAAATTGTGTCCTGCTGCACACCTTAGTGCAGGCACCTTGTACTGAATTAATGACATTGTTTCTTCTGCTTTTATCTCGAAGCTGGAGGTGTTATTCTTCTCTCCTCTGCAGTGACTGCGATGGGCGTTAAATCCAGACAGCACACCAAACAGCTTGTCGCAATACAAGCAGCGATACAGCTTTGCGCCGGTGTGTTCTCTCATATGGCTGTTGAACTCCTGCAGATGGGCAAAAATATTCTTGCAGATGTGGCACGTGTACGTTAGTGAAGACTTTACACGTCTGTCGGGTTGTGATTCGTCACTGCTTTCCGAGGGTCTGCAGGTGGTGATTTTTTTGCGTTGCTGTAATGAGTGAATGATTTCTCACAGCGGGTACAGTTGTAACGCTTCACAGACCAGTGTGTCAGCTCATGAACTCGGAGGAAATACGCCTGACCGAAAGCTTTGCCACATATGTCACATTTATAAGGCTTCTCTCCAGTGTGGGCCCGCACATGTCTGATGAGGGCAGACTGAAACGGGAATGTTTTACCACAGTACTGGCACTCTTTTTTCTCTTTCTCTTCTGGGGAAATGTGTCTCTGATACCCCTGACTATTTTCCCGGTGGTTCCCTCTGCTGCTTCTTTCAGATCTGGTGTCCTCAAAGTCCTGGTTGTGTGCATGCTCTCTCATATGAGCGGCATACTCCGAGCAAGAGAATTTGATCTTGCAAAATGGACATTTTTTATTTATGTTGCTCTTATTGTGTGTCTTGAGATGAAGATTTAAGTTGGAATTTTTGCTAAAGCCTTTTCCACATTCAGAGCATTTGAAAGGTCGTTCTCCTGTATGAATACGTTGATGGATGACGAACTGAGAATGAAATTTAAATGTTTGCTCACAGTAACCACATTTCATCAAAATGTTCCCTCCTTTTTTAATGTAGCTGACATTTGAGTTGGCGTCCTTGGTGTCATCACTTCCTGTTTGGCCCTGTACAAGCGATTCTCTCTGCAACAAAACATTACCCATTCTCCTCCTTCTCTTGCCGCCTCTCCTGCGCCTGAAATAGCAGTTTGGACTCTCAGCTGTGGTGCTGGCATTGCAATGTAAAGATTCAAGACTATTTGACATAGGATTTAAAGGATCCAGCTCAATTTCAATTTTCTCAGCTTTCACAGCAGGGGGCACACTTACAGGTTTAGGTATTTGAGATTTTGTTACGGCTACTGTTTTCTGTAAGGCTTCAATATTTTGTGATTCAAATGTGCTTTTGGATTGTAATTCCTCCCTGTCATTCATGTTTCCTGAAGTTGGGCCTACCACGTTCAAACGTTTTGAAGGAATAACTTCAGGCTCTGTCTGCTGCTCTCCTCCAGACTGCAGGGAGAGGTGACAGGTCCTCTCGTCTGTACCGGCCTCTTGCTTGTCTGTGTTAATTCCCACCTGCTTATCTGTCTCAGCCCCCTCCCCACAGCCTGTGTGATTGCTCAACAGTGGGCAGGCCTCCTGGGAAACATCCAGTCTGGACACTTTTGCTGGAACCTGCTGATCAGCCTGTTTAGCTCTTCTTCTCATAAAACCTTGAAAGTTCAATATGTTACCATTGTGCTCAAGGTCTTCCTTGCTATCACAATCAGGCTTTCCATCCTGTTTCGAAGGGTGTTGATCAGCTTGACTCCTCAGTGTCCGTGTAGCGCGGCTTACATTATAAGCATCAGCCGAAGCAGCAGGAGAACTAGCAGCACCAATCTTAGCAACCGTAGCGTTATAAGCTGAGATTTCTGTTTTTCGTGGCCTTCCTCTTTTTCTTTTTGGCAGCACAAGGTCACAGCGAGGAGCTCCGTCTATAGTGTTAGGCACATCCTTACTGTTGTAGTTATCTAAACTTGTTGGCAGAGGTATTGTCGTGCTGATCTCCTTATGTTGAACTGCATCAAAACCAGCAGAATCTGGGTATTTATTGTCTTTAGTCAACAATGACTTTATTTTCCGCGGGCGCCCACGTTTCCTGTGTGTCTCCACATGCTGCCCAAGACGGTCTGTTGTAGAGCTGCACACATTTGCAGAAGTCATCTGAGACTCTGCTTCCATCCCTACCTGCGGCAATATGTGTCCACTGTGTTTATTAAGTGTTCCACCTGCTATTTCAAAGTTAACACAGCCGTCAGTCTCCACGAACCCCGATGAGTGGGATTCAGATGCAGGGTGATTCAGTTCCTCTCCCCACCTGGAGTCCAGGTCTTTCTCACTGCATCTCTCATCTTCAGGCATCTTTGGAAGAAGAAAAAATGTCATTAGTCACAAATGTTGTGTATTGTTGCGTAAGTATTTTCTAATAGTATAAAGTAAAAGGCATGCATACATTGGTATGAACCCAAATGATATATTTTTGTATAATGTTCATGTCTATTTATATGCATTTAAAACTAAAACAGTAAAGTGTACGATAGAAGATCACATGCCAGTGAAAAATAATAAAAACATTTCCAGAATTAATTTATTTGATGCTAGAGGACCAACATAAACATAACACAATGCTTCACTCCAAACCAAATATTCCAAATGTGATGGTCATAAAAATAAAATATAAAGTAACACAACAAAAGTCCTTAAATAAGAGTTTGAGAGATGTTATACAGACAATGCATCCATATCACATGAGCAGGTTACTCCAGAAATGGTGCTGTATACCGCAGCAGACAGCTCAGTCAATAACTACCTGCTTGCAGTCCGAAGCATTATGAATGGTCTGGTGAGGATGCGATGCGGCAGGAGCTAACTGATCGACTGGATTTTGGTCACTGCTTTCTCTGCTGAAGGACATTTTACTCCCCATATCCAAGGTCTGTGAATTAAAAAAATTACAAGAAGAATGTAACATACTAAAACAGTAACACATACAGTATTTTTACAAATGTGTAAACACTGCATGCTCTGCCTCTTTGTCACTTTAACTTAAAAGTGACTATCTGCATTACAATTAACCCAGAGAGAAGCCTGCAAAGCAGTCACTGGACATCTTTATAACTTGACTGGGCAGATTGATGTTCAGTTGACACACATTGGTTTTGTCAGAATTCCTACAAAAAACACCTTTAAGTGGCTGCCTAGTTAAAAACCTGTCCAGAAAGATAGCCACGTAGTTGATTTGTGATTTATTTTATAGCAGACTGTGTTGGTAAAGTACCTAGCTTTCCAAACCTGTGGTAGAAAGTAACTCCACACATTAAGTCAAGTACTCTAGTACGTCAGGTTATTTATAGATTTACAAGCATAGTAATCCGAAAAAAATATTGTATTTGCCACCACTACTTTCACATGCGTAACAGCAAGCATATTGACATTTTCATAAAAATACATGGAAATTTTATAAATTATCACTTTTTGATACAGAATAATCAGCCCAACTGTTAGACAAAGGGAGCTCCGTCACCACCAGTTGAGTCATTCTACAGAAAAGGTGGAATCTGGGTGATACAAATCTGCTGAAATATATTCCTTCTAAACACATCTAAAACCTGTTAAATAGCAATAACTAACTCTTAACTTGATGAATCCACAACAAGTAGAGCTTAAAGTATTTTTTATTATTTGTATACATTATATAAAGCTTATTTATATAGGTGTTACGTGTTACCAGGAAGAAGAGTAACACCAGTGACAATTTGGAGAAAACACTACCATTTTAACAAAATGGCTGCCATGTGTCAGACCAAATATGGCTTCAGTCAATATCAAAATCGTTTAACTCTTCAATACAATACATTTTCCCATTAAAATGTTCACCCCTAGGGCTATGAAATTAGTAACACTAATGACAGACTTGAAAGACGCACGTAAAATTTGAAGATAAAATTACACCTTTAACAAACAAAGTAAGAAGTATCTGACTTTCCTTATGTCTTTGTCCACTGCACTGCCTCAAATGATCTCTTGTTACAGGAGGCACTTCAGAGACAGTAGGCCTACATTATTTCAAAAATAAAAGCGTTGTTTGTAGCAGTAACAACAATGACGTAATTTTATTTATTGGATATTATTAATAATAATTTGCGTTTTTCTTTACCATTTCAGTGTTATATTTAATGTATGTAATGTTATGTAAATATGAATGAGATTTATTTATTGAAAACAATATATTTTCAATTAAAACTATAGGCTCCACTTCCATGTATGATCAAAGTGACAAAGGTTCCTTGATCTTGGCATTTTAAATCAATTGCGATTGATGTATAAAACACATACATTTAGTACCATTGCAAAGACAATCTCTATTTATTCAACATATATAATGAATGTGAGTATTAGGTCAACATCATGTGTTTTGGTGTCTGCAAAAGTAAGTGACAGTACTTCCACCTTTTCTGTAGAATGACCCAGCTACAATATTAAAATGCTGCTTATACAATAAGGCACAAGACAGTGCTGTTCCAAACAATACTTTAACTTTTGGAACATTTTGCTGATGTTTGTTTTACTTTTCCCTCACTAAAAATGTTTATGCAGGGTATTCGTCGCATTACTACTTCTTGTATACAAGTATTGCATAATACTTTCCCCATCTCTATTTATAACGAGCTATGCATTATAGACTTTCAAGGGTAGATTGTACGCTTTGAAGCTTCTGAACTTGGGGAAAATGCCAACACTCAGATATGGTGTTGAGGTTTGTAAAGCTCAAGTATGAATATAACAGGTAATGCAAAACAAATCTACCTTAGTTTGAGTAGACAGACAGTGGTTTCTAGAGTCGGCCCGCCTTACATTGCAGACATATTTGATATAATGGAGTCTTTCTGATGCACTGATCAATGGCCTTTGTTTGCAATTATTAGCACTAATCACACAGAAAACCACTCAGACGTAACCGTGTCACTGAACATGCATATTAAAACACACACAACCAAACTGTTAGCTTCAGCATCAGGCTACCAGTTATCATTCAAAGCTATCAGCAGCATGACTAAGAACAATGTAGGCCTTATATTTTGATAGGCCACATTGCTATCTCTGGTTAAGCTATACATACCTCACCGTGAACGACAGTCATCTCACACAACTTTGAGGCTAATAACGTAGGCTAATTTCTGCACAGTGGTTATTTATCGTGGGTGTTAGTAAACACAAAGAGCTTGCCTGAGTGGGGAGTCAGCACTGGTCTCTGCGTAGCCATTCACTGACCGCTGCAACACCAGCTAGCACTGGCTAGCTAAATGCTAACATTTGGTTGGTCGTTTCAAGGCAGTTTGGCCCTCGTGCATTGGTCTGGCAGCTGGTCTGTAAACGTGGACCTTGCTTTCTCTTCTGTTCAAAGCTGTGAGCTGCTCGATATCCCCGCACAAAGCAACCCGAAAAATGTCAATCACAGAGAGCGCAGATAGGGTGGATGCTTCAGATGGTGTGGGAAATGTGGGAATTATGAGACGTTGTGCTTTAGAAGTAAAAGCAGTGAAATACTAGTGTTATGCGAGATATAAGGTTTAAGGAAGCTGGAAAGTGAAACACCACCATCATTCGTTTTGCAACTAGTTAAAACTAATAATAATGTACAGGACAGCTTTTTCAGTGAGACTTCTGCAAACATAGCACCTTTATGTCTTGTTTTCGCTCTGAAATGGCTCCCTCTGCTGGGTACTGACAATAGACCATGAAAGCATCACTAATAAATCCGAATAAAATTGCCAGAAATAATAAATGAAGCAACACATTAAATAATTAAGATAATAGAAATTGTCAAATCAATATAAGTGCGCTAGGCACTGTGGAGGAGAGTCAGTTTAAATTACCAATCAATCACTCCACCACATTTTCCAGAGAATTAAAAGTCAGTCATTTGTTTTTACGGTTTATGAATGAGAAAACATTGGATATTATAACATGCTGCATTATACTATGATGAAAAAAACACTCAGTTTGAAAATACAGTTTAATACATGTACCTTTCAAAGTCTGACAAAGGTGGTAGGAACACATATTTCCTCTTATTGCGTTCCAATTCCCACAGCATCTCAACACATTCTGATCATACTAAAAATATATTGAAGAACAAAAAACGTAATAGATATCCTGGTTATCCCACCAAAACTGGATAAGCCATGTACATACATTTTCAGAATGTTATGATAAACCTTTTCTATTACATTTTCAGGGGCACTGATTGTTTATAGTTCTGGCAAAAGAAACCCAGCTTTATTAAGATACATTAATATTGTCATCTTAAAATTCTTTAAAATCATATGGAGAAACCCAGAGAGAATAGTGTTCTTGTGCAATTAACCTCAAGAACTATATTTTGTTTTAACAGGACTGACTTTATGTACTTGGTCCATAAATGTGACATGCAAATTGGAGTTACATTTCAAATGTTGTCAAGTTGTGATAGGAACAGATGAGGTTACTTGGTATATCATCTCAGCAGGTTTGTCTGGTCCGCTTTCAACTATGAAACAATCATCATCCATGTCGCCTCCTGTTTCCCCATCCACAGGAGCTGCCCCTTGCCCTTTGTTCAGACTACCAGACATGACTTGGTTTGTCTTTATGTTACCATAAGCTGAAACCCCAGGTTTTCTCTCCCCATTCATCAAAACCGGAATTGGGCGTGTCAATGGTGCCACCCTCTTTAGTCTGTATCGTTTGCCATCTCGCACATGCTGTGCCATAAACTCCTTTGCTCTGGCACACTTGTGCCTCTGAAGCAGCTGAGCAGATTCAAAGGAAAGATGACAGACTCGACATGGAAAACCATTTGATGCAGAGGATGTCTGCATTGGATAGTTTGATACACCTGAAGCAGACTGTGTGGGTGTCTTCAGCTGCACGAAGTGAGGGACAGGAAGCCCTTGACTGCCGTTATTGGATGCCCTGGGATGAGGATTCTTCGATAGTAGAGGGGAAGTGATATAAGGGCTGAAGGAGCTGGGACCCTTTGCTATCAGGCGCGGCAAGACATTAACCCCCCGATTGCTTTTAATGTGTGCACTGATTTTCAGTTTTTCCAGCTGCAGGGTGGAAATCCCGACTCGACTGCCTTTTCTTGCAGCAGTGGGACTTTGACTTTTCAGCTGTTGAGAGGAAGTGGCCAAAGGCCCCTCAACCCTTGGAGTACTGCCTGTACTGGCAACGATTGGCTTCTTGAAATTTAGCGGTGTAGCAGTGATGAGTCTGGATTTGGTGGTATTGTTGGGTGTCTTACAAAAGTGAAAGCGGGGTACTACTTTCTTGCTGGAGAGGAGCAGCCCACATCCTATACAGCCAGATATTTTATCTATTACATGAGAGCTGTGGTGGGATATGAGGGAGGTTTTTCTCTCAAAACAATGCCCACATTTAGCGCATGTGTAAGGTTGTGTCTTGTTAAATTTGCGCAGTGTTTGCAAAATCACGACAGGTTGGTAAAGTGACCAAAGATCTACAGTTGGTGCACCTACACCTGCAAAAATGTTCTGCATGTCTTTCTCACTGGGTTTAATGAGCACAGGTGTTTGTGACAGAGAGCTGTTCAGCGGAGGCACTTGTGAAATATGCGCAGACTGCATGGGAACTTGTGGCATTAGAGCTGATGTCATGGGTCCTTTCAGCAAAGGTGTCCCCAAAAGAGACACTGATGGCACATTGTTTAGTTTAGGCACCTTCCAGACAACCTCACCAGTCTGTAGTCTTTTCAGCTGCTGCTCCTCTTCTATACGCTTCTCAATTCTGCGCTTCTGTATTGTTCCATGATCAAGGACTTGGTGACCTGGCTCATGTGTTGTGCTGTGGTCCAGCACGTCTTTGTATTCAGCAAACTCAGTGCCACATGAGCAGATATGACTTGCAGCAGAACAAAAGTGTTCCTCCAGGCATTTCCGATTTGCAAATATCTGCTCACAGCTGAAGCAAAACCGCCCTGCATTCATTAAATCTCTGCCCAGGTCATCCTCCAGGATATTTTGCAATTTTGACTTTCCCCTCTCCATCATCAGGTTGGGTATGGAAGTATTCACTGCTGGTGTGGAGCCCTGGAGCACCTTTGCTGTTGGAGACAAGTGTTGGAATCATTGCAATCATAAACATATTCAATAAAATAAAAACCGTTGTAACTCACCATGATGACTGATGCTATCTGAATCAGTAGCTAGTTATGCTAACGGCTATATACAACTGGATGCTAAGCTTAGGAGACAGCTGTAATATTACAAATACACTTTCATATACCCATGAACATTTGCTCGTTTCAGACAGAAAGACAAAAGTTTAGGGAGTGTCAAATAAACTCGTTATTTGGTTATTTCTATAGTTCTATGAAACAGCCCAAATATTGTGGAATGCAAACATAGTCTTCCATCTATCCAATTAAGTTGAAATACCTGCTTTGATATACTACTTCATAGTTGGGGAAACACGTTATTTAGTCTTGTTTTACATTTCTTCTGAATGTTATTTTGTTGTACGCGCCATTGCCTTGGGAAAAAATCGACCATGCTAACGTTAGCTTCAACTAGCTTACAATAACGAGAGCTTACCATCACATTAAAGTGTATCCGTGTTAATATCCCGGCATATCCCTGCGACAAAAAAAGCAAACAATGTGTCGATTGTAGTTTTGAAAGTCAGTGAACATCAGACTGACCTGTCGGTGTTTTATCTAGTCGGTTGCAGTTAGCCCATTAGCCACACCAAAACCAAAGAGGAAATACCTCCACTTCTTCTACTGATGGCGCGCTTCGACAGCAGGAAGTGCGGGGTTTGCTTCGTTATACTGACACCTATCGTCTGGAGGCTTGACTTCTGTATGTATAATCAGAATCTTTATTAGTCCCACACATGGGGTCCCACAGAGGGGACATTTGCATCGTTACAGCAGGAAAGAGCCACAGACAGCTTAATGTTACATATGTTAAAAAAGTACTAAGTTATGATATAATAAAAAAATTAAAGTAAAAAAAAACACTTTTCAAAATACAAATCCTGTAACAGTTCTTAGGATTTAGCAGCCAGGTATATATTTCACAGTTATTAATGGCATATATAGCACATAGTTTGATGGTATTTAACAGCAGCAACTTACACAATTTACAAAATACCATCCATCTTCTCCCGCTTATTCGTGGTCGGGTCGCGGGGGTAGCAGTTCCAGCAGAGAGCCCCAAACTTTCTTTTCCCTGGCCACATCAGCCAGCTGAGGGCCAGTCCTTTAGAGAAGTACCAGGGCTATAACAGTTTATATTTCCATATTAAAATATGATTGTGCAAAGTTCATAAATAAACAGGACTGGGGAGTCTCATAGCATTCAAATCATAGTAGAAAGTCAGAGGTCTAGATCTATGGTCTAGATTTAAGTTTTCTTTGAACCAACATTTTGATTTGCTTCAATTTGATCTATTTTAGCTCAAATGTATCCTTCTACAACTATTTAACAGAAACTAAAGAAAAAAAGGAGATCAGGGGTCATGCCGGTTTGTTGATTGTAAAGATCAGCTTCAGACAGACGAAGACTGACAAAGACATTAGAGTCCTGCGGGAGTCACGAGGGAGGCAAATCCTACTTGAGCTAAGTATCGCTGGTGTTTTGTTTTTTAGCCCCTCATGCTATAATCATGTGTGTTCTCGCAATTATCACTGGCTCCGTGTATCTCCTAATCTATATAACCGGTCTGCTCTCGTCTATCCCACATGCTCTACTGAGATCCAACATCTAGTTTCAGGTGGCCTGTGGAACTGCCAGTCAGCTGTTCCTAAGGCTGACTTCATCTCTGGCTACGCCTCCCTGCAGTCTCTGGATTTCCTTGCTCTCACTGAGACCTGGATTACTCCATCCAACACATCCACCCCAGCAGCTCTCTCCACAGTATATTCCTTCACCCATACACCCAGACCCACTGGCAGAGGAGGTGGCACTGGTCTCCTGATCTCTCCCAAATGGAGCTTTTCCCTCTTCAAGCTACCTAACTTCACTCCTTCCACCTTTGAATTCCATGTCGTCACAGTAACCCATCCTATACAATTTAACCATTGTTGTTCTCTACCGTCCACCAGGCGCCTTGGGGGACTTCTTGGAGGAATTAGATAATCTCCTCTCACACATCCCAGAAACTGGCCCTCCCACTGTACTTCTCGGAGACTTCAACCTCCAGACAGGGAAGATATCTGAACTAACATCTCTTTTAACCGCCTTTGCTTTCTCACTGTCTCCATCCCCACCAACTCATAAAGCTGGCAACGTCCTTGATCTCATATTCTCAAGGAACTGCACTACTTCTAACCTCTCTGTAAACCCACTTCACACATCCGATCACTTTTTCATTTCATTCGCTCTTTCCAAACATAACAAACTAACCTCTTCTAATTCTGCACCTGTCCACCGTAACCTTCGTTCCCTCTCCCCCTCTACCCTTGCCTCATCGGTGCTCTCAGCCCTCCCTTCCTCTGACTCGTTCCAACTTCTGCCTCCAAACTCTGCTGCAGAAACTCTCCTCTCTACTCTTTCATCCTCTCTCTGTCCTCTCACATCTCGGCAGGCTCGTCAGTCCCCTCCTGCTCCCTGGCTAAATGACGCACTGCATGCTCATAGAACCATCCTTAGGGCAGCAGAGCGGAAATGGTGGAAATCCAAACACCATGACGACCTCCTAAACTATCAGGCTCTCCTCTCCTCTTTCTCTGCTTCGATCGTCATTAGCGTCAGCTAAATGCAATGCAATACTAGTAGTAGTTTTTCTACAGTCAGCATAGTTTATTAAATGTTGTTTTCCTTAACCAAAGTACATTCATTAGGCAGTGATCATCATTTTTAGTGTCCCATTTCAGAGCTCTAGATGGATTCTATAAAAGTATTATGTCAAATGTAACAAATATTTAAGAATTTAGTTTAATACAAACCTTGTTTGGAAGAAGATTCCAACCTCAAGACACAAACACAAATCTGATTCAGAAAACAACAATTAGAAGGCCTCTGTAAATATGGAATAAATGACCATTCACTTCAATCAACACATCAACATATGTTTTTATTAGCCAGTTATTACTCCAAGACTAAGGTAATGAGAACTTTTCTTTAAACCTTACTTTTGTTCAAATACAATGGTAACCTGCTAGAATACAATTGTGATAGAGCTTAGTTAATGGACTGAAGTACAGACTCTAAATGAAATAAAATAACTAACATTTTCAAAGATGGACCTCAAAACAAGGGCTCATTATCAGGTAAGGAAGTATGAGCCACCTTAAGGATCTCACCCTGTCAGTTGTTGCTATGTTTTAAATATACCTACCCCTAAGCATTCCTAAACAACCAGAAACAAGTTTAAACAGAGAAAAACCTGGAGCTTTTAGGAGCACCACGTTTTGGGCTGCTCGCTTTGCCCAACTATTAACGTACCCTGACTAAGACTATTTCAGTGATGAGTTTGTTTACTGTCCATACATAATGTGGAGGCATATACATACATACAATTATATCCATTGCTTGCTTTGAAGAGTTTAAGATAATATCCCATATTGTACACAATTATAAAAACGTACATGTTTCACTTACTAGGATGTTTATTAAACCAGGAACAACAATGAGCTACATCACTAAATCTGTGGTAAACGTTTCATTATTTACAGGCCAATGAGGTTATGTAATCAATTGATTAACTAAATCTAACTATTTACAGCATACCACAGCATCGTCTTTTTAACAATGTCAAGCTTCAATACCACTGTAACATGGGCAGTAAATAACAAAAACACCTTTTGGCACATATGGAAAAATACAACAAATGAAAAATGTGGTCTGTTTTTAATGCACCCCTCACATGTCTACTTAGAAACTAAAATGTGATTAGAAAGTCAGCTGTTGCGTTTTGGGTGTGGTGTCCCCAGCCATGATGCGATGGATCCTCCTGCGGTGGTTTTTAAGTGATTTCAAGTTTGTATAGGTACCCTGACAGACATCACAGCGATATGATTCAGACTGTTTGGATTCAGACGGCTTGTGAGTAAGCAGGTGTCTCTGCAATCCGTCCACAGTGCCAAACCAGCGAAGACAAACAGGGCAACGCACAGGCTTGATGGCAGGCTTGCAAGCACCACTCCTCTGGTGAAACATAAGACTGGTTGTGTTCGGGAAGTCAGAGTTGCATTTTGAACATTGGAACGTTTTGGGTGGGTTTGCGGCATTGGTAGCACGCACACCTTTGCAGCGGTTCCAGGATACGTGTCGACGAAGGGAACAGCGAGAGGAAAAGGTGTTCCCACATCGGGTGCACACAATGCGCGGCTGCTTCTTTGATTGATTTGGAAGCTGCAGCGGGCGTGGCTGCTTCTGTGGGGGCTGATGCACTGGCCGAGGTGGTGGCTTCTGCTGGGGAGGAGGCTTCTGCTGAGGAGGAGGCTTCTGCTGAGGCGGCAGCTGCTGAAAACGAAGCAATAATGGTTGTGATCGTTGTGGTTTTAGTGCCTTCAGCAGCTGGTGATGAGGATGCATATGGATCTGAAGGTGAACTTCGTAGTCTGCCCAGGAATTGACAGTCTCTCCACAAGTCGGACATGTGTAGGATTCCTGTGCATGTTTCTGCAGATGCACCAAGAGAAGCCTAGGAGATGTAAATCCCACCCCGCACTCACACGTCACCCTTCTTGGAAGAACGGAGGGCAGTGACATGATGCCCCAGTTTCCTTCATCATCCTCCTCTGTTGCATTGCCTGACATACTCTGCTGCACAGTCCCTCTACCCACCTGTCCTCCGTCTGGGATTTTTTGTTGCAAATGACATTTCTTACTGTGAACCATCATGTTATCTTTGCGGTTAAATTCCTTCCCACATACAAAACAGGCAAACATTGGTTTCATATTGTTTGCAGCTAGGGAACTGGCACCATGACTTCCACTTTGTGCTACAGTGCCAGATCCACGTGGCCTAAATCCACACAGCTGTAGATGGCGCCTCAAAGTCGATTGCCGACTGTAGGTTTTCTGACATCGGTTACAAGGGTAACGTTTTAGACCATCTCTGACAAAATAGCGCAGCGACGTCCCTTGATGTTCGCCTGTCACAGCATTATTCACCTCTCCATCAGTATCAGTTTTTTCTGTAGAGTTAAGCACCTCCATTTCATCATCCAAGGGCATTGTCCACTCCCCTTCATCACCGTCTTCCATTTCATTTGCTGCATCCCAGCTGCTGTTTTCTTCTCCTTGCTTGTGCTGTTCCCTTGTGGTAGATTTGGGGGGAATTGGTAAGAAGCGTTTTGCTGGATGAACCCAGGCCAACTGAGAAACTGCAGACTGCTCTGAATCAGGAGAGGTCAACTCGACCTTGATACGACCAGTAAGTTCAGTTCCCACGGCAACACTCTTGGAGAGTTGAGTCCTAGCGAAAGAGAAGGGTTTTTTCTGCGTAAAGGGGGCTGACGTTGGTCCCTGGCATTTATGCATTTTGAGGTTCCACATCCGAGCGTAGTTGTGCTTGCACACTGGACAAAAGAACGTTTTTTTTGAATTGTTCACGCTATGGAATGGAACTATTCTTTTGGCAAATGGTAAGTTCTTTTTAAGAGAGCTTGAAGGTTGTGTGATGTTGTTTCCTGAACGAGGGCATACATGATTATCAGGTAAAGGGAGCCGCCCAATGATCAGCTGTTTGCAGCGACGGCAACATTTAATCCTCTCTTTTTTGTGCAAGAAATGATGCTCTGCAAGTTTGTCCACATCTTGAAAGACCCTTCGACAGCGGC